ACTTCTAACCGTAGACTATTTTCTTTCTATATAATATTACGGATTTATCAATTATCTTTTAAAAAATTATTTTTGTTGTACATAATACAACAATACTCTTGTTGTGAATTCAAATAAAATAAGTACAATTCGATTTATACCATCCATCATAGAAAGATTAAATATTTATTGTATCACTTAGACATAATGTTACCACTCATTTATGACTACAATCAGTAAAGTTGAAATTTACATTATTATCATATTTACGTCATATATATTTCACAACTGCTCGATATTTTGTAAAGCAGTTATCAATGTTTTATCTATGACGTGTTGGAAAATTGTAAATTTTGAATTTTGTTAAGCTTAACTCTCCTTACCTCTCATAATACCGTACTATGGTATGGGTATGATAAGTACGACTCCAGAATGCTCTGGAGGTGTAAATTAGATGTAGTTTCATGTGCTACGCGTTTCCGATCCGAATATATTTCTCCCCATAAAGGGGATGATGTCACACATATCTACACGACAGCTTCGTACGTGTAAAAGGATATGGCAATCAATTCAAAGTAACCACGCACTGAGGAGGCACCCTCCAACCGCTTGTACCCTCACGTCCTGTGATCCCCTTAGAGTTGAACCGTCGGGTATAAATCAACGTTATTAGAGGCATCATATTCGTTACAGAGGCCCCAAGTCGGTAATTTTGTATCAAATTGTTCTCAAATACGTTGTATTACATCTAATAAATGTCCGTAATGTGGAAGTCAGAAAATTCGGATCATCGTTATTATTTTAATCGATATTTCAATTGCGGGCTAAATGAAACGATAATGTTAATTCGCGGTTTGAAAATTATATCGATTTTCTCGCGTTTGCATATAATTTCGGTTAAGGGATAACTTTTGCTACGTAACCGAATAAATGATTGTCGACGTATTATCAGTGGCTCTGTAGATCCGGAGCTAAACATCACGTATGCCAGATGGGTTGTGAAATTTCGGGATATTCTCTGGGTGTTAGGAAGTGATTGGATCATACACGGACCAACGAATATCTCCACTCGTGTTTAATGGGTTTACCCCGAGCGAACAAATGAGTAATATTGCATACTACTAACCATGATTCAAATGCAATGCATTATGCGGCAGTCTACATCTAGTTGATACCTAGATATTCACGGTGGATATAGTGAAAAGCCAATTACGCTATGCATGAATAATTTTACTAGAAGAATTGTTCAAATCTGGAATAGCATATATTGTGTAAGTCGATTTATGTGCAAAACGAGTTTTAGCTTCCTTTCAACCTTGAGACAATTAATTTTATTATTTATTTGTTGCTCAGATCCTATTGTATTCAACAATATTCATTATAATTTTAAATTTTAATTCTCAAGCAAACGGAAAATTGCGTTTAAATTACATTTCGTGATATTTCACGATATGAATTGCCTTACAACTGTCTCACGCATTTAATTAAATCGGTTCATCATTTTATTGCGCTCGATCCTAAAACGTGTTATCCCTGTTGATACGATTTATTGTTATATTTTATGTTATACATTGCAAATTCGAATGTAGTCTGTGGTTAAAAGAGGGAGAGGGATGAAACCCGTGCCACAACACGTGAATGTTACTACAGTTCTACTTGGAACCACCCTCGGTCAGCCCGCCGTAAAGTCACGTGTACGGGACTGTCGTCATCTATGTATTACCCCCTATCTCCTCTGTCATGTGCACATGACATCGGTTACGATGTAGACTGAAATACTATTCTCTCTCTTTTTCGATTTATCCGGTCGCGCATTTTTTCTTCGTTGCTCTCTTACAATTCTTTAATATCGATATCCTTGTATTCCGCTTTTCTAATTTAATTATCTTAAAAATCTGTATTAACAAAATGCACTGCATGTGAAACTGCTGTTTAGAATTTAAAAAAATAGCATGATTCCATTCTGCGAAAGCGAACGTTTTAATCCAATTTGAGTTAGTTACTCTGGGGTATGTTGGAATCAAATTATTTCGAACTGAGGTACCGTCAGAATCTGGCGTTGGCGGGGCTATTTTTTAAATCTGTTTCTCGTAAATAACATCGACGCATCTGCAAAGTACGATTAAACGTTTCCGTTACCAAGGTTGCCCATAGCAAATAGTGAATTATCTCGGGGGTGTCAGGTGCTAGTTCAATCTGAACTGTTCGCAATTCAATTGCACTATTCGTTCTCAACCCGGTAACCGACTGCGACCGTTCGGCTAGCAATTTATCTCTCATTCTGTCTTTATTGCAGTCCTCTTTTACAAAATAATAGATACTTTTACAGTTTCGCTATGCATCGATCCTTGTTACTCGAAAAAATTTTACCAAAATTGGACATCATATTTAAAATTGTTCGACGTATACTTGTTTATATTCTTATCATACACGCTTACGATGTACTCATGTCGTAATTTATAAGATAGTAGTCATATTATTTACTAGAAAAATGGAGCATTTCGATTTAAAAAGTGTGTAATAAATGTGCCATCTTAAAACTTGCAGTTGAATTTCAGACAATATGTAATACTCACTTTTTCCTTCTTTCAGACTGTTTCAATCTCAATGCTGTTGCGATATTCGCATCATCAGATCTTCATCTTCATTGGTAAGTGATTACGTCTAATAAAATTCCTTATGCTTTTTTAAATGTTTAAAATTTTATTCGCAATACTACGAATGCTTATATGATTTTATGATACTCATTTATTCATTTACGTTTGCTTGTTCTATTAAAACTGTAATTCTACATATTTGCTAAGTAATATAGAAATATTGCATGACTGTAATTTATTTTCATTATGCGTGAACTTGCAAAAGTTGAACAAAATTCTTAAATACTTACACGAAACATTTTTGTTAATTTGTGGAACGGAATTAAGGATGTATTGGCTATACAGTCAATACCAAAAGTTTATGTACCTTAGAAAAACGCATTTTCTATAATTAAAAAGAAATCAGACGTCGGAAAAATAATGCTAATAATAAATAGCTACGTGCTAAAAAGTATAGAAGGAAATATCCAATTAAGTATTGACGCTGACGAAATATTTTCTATCTCAATACTATCGTAAAATCTAGGATCAATGACCGGTTATCTAGAGATATTCTTGAAGTTACTGCAAAATTTTCGCCCTACCCCGTGTCGATTTGATTTCCTTTATATAGGAGCGATTCGTATTGTTTCCATATTCTTCAATAACTATTCGTACAGTCGTTTATAACGCGCAACGATGGAGATTTCGCTTTTTACTACTTTCGAGTTACTGTCGATCAGTCTGATCGTCATCGGTTCTGCAAAGTTCGTTTCAATAGTATACCGACAGTTCACATATTGGAAAAAGAGGAAAGTTCCACACGTGTGGGCATTCCCAGTGTTCGGTTCCGCTTGGAAACTATTCTTTCGTCGAATTAATTTAATGGAGTATAGCTTGTTAGTTTACAATTCTCATCCGAACGCGAGGTATGTCGGTATCATGGATTTTTCCACGCCAACCGTGCTCTTACGGGACACGGAATTGATCAGGGAGATCGGTATAAAGAGTTTCGAACGTTTTCCGAACCATCGAAGTTTCGTCACCGAGGAAATGGACCCGATTTTCGGGAAGAACGTGTTTTCTTTGAAAGATGAACGATGGAGAGAAATGAGGAACACGTTGAGTCCGTCATTCACGACCAGCAAAATGAAATTCATGTTCGATCTGGTATCCAAGTGCGCGCAGGACTTCGTTTGTCACTTGTACGATCATCCGGAACTCTGTACCATGATAGAGGCCAAAAATATGCTCACCAGGTATACGAACGACGTGATAGCTACCTCAGCTTTCGGTATAAGCGTGAACTCGTTGAAGGATCCGGATAACGAGTTCTACAGCAGGGGTATCGACGTGAGCACGTTCACGGGTGTACTTCGTCTGACGAAATTCCTATTGTTCCGGCTTAATCCACACCTGATGAGAATGGCAGGCCTGAGGTTCCTGTCGCGAGCATCCGCGAACTTTTTCTCGAACGTGATCTCCGAAACGATCAAAGCGAGGAAGGAACAAGGCATTGTTAGACCGGATATGATCCACCTCTTGATGCGGGCCACAGACTCGAGCAAATCTTCCCTCAAGATGGACATCAATGATATCGTGGCCCAGGCTTTCATCTTCTTCTTGGCTGGTTTCGACACATCTTCCACTATGATGTGCCACTTGGTTTACGAACTGGCAGTGCATCAAGATATTCAAGAGAGGTTGCGAGAAGAGGTAGATCGTTATTTAAGTGAAGGGAATGGCCAAATTTCTTACGAGTCACTGTCCAAATTGGAATACATGGACATGGTGATATCCGAGACGCTTAGAATGCATCCTCCAACGATGCTGACTGATAGACTCTGTGCGGAAAAGTACGAATTGCCACCAGCAGAATCGGGCTACAATGGTACAACCATTTATCCCAATCAGAATGTTCTTATTCCTATTTTTGCACTACATCATGACCCGAAGTATTTCCCTGATCCAGAAATCTTCAACCCTGAGCGTTTCAGTTTTGATAATAAGGATAAAATCGATCCTTATGCGTATATCCCCTTTGGGTTGGGTCCGCGAAAGTGCATTGGTAATCGTTTTGCTTTGATGGAGACCAAGATTTTGTTGGTTCATCTATTGGAAAAATTTACGATAAAACCTAACGAGAAAACGCCAATTCCACTCGTATATAAGAAAGGGAGCTTCACATTGATATCAAAAGATGGATTCTGGTTTACTTTAGAAAAAAGAAACGTTCCAATTTATTAGCCGAAACTTGTTTTCTTCAAATTTAATCATTTATTCAATTTATCAAGTTTTTATATTATTTTATATCTTCTTTGGAAGGGAATAGATTTCCATTGTTTGTTTGAGAAAATGAACGGGTCAACGGTTTAATTAATAAAACGTGCGTAACTATCACAAGTCGTTGATTTGAAATCCCGAACTCGCGTTCATTATCATCCTATTTTTTTCCTTTTGTATTTCATATGCATCGAAATTCGTTTCATATCACTTTTTTATCGCCGCGTTCTATGTGTATCGAGACTGCTGTGTATGAAAGTGATATAATAGATAACTACGAATTTGTCGTATTTCATAACGTCCGAAATGATTAATATCACGAAAATGAGCAATTTTAGAGACGATATCTCATTTAATAAAAAGATAAAAGTAATTCAACAGTGAAATATTAATTGTTTCATCTGATGTCGTTCTGTTCGAGTTGATTTTTGTACTATATATTATTATATATATATATATGTTATATATATGTACTATATTATTATTCGTAACTGCTACACAGTTCGTTCCCTACTAGTCCCTAAAATTGTCTTTACATATCATAACATGTAATAACTGTAGCTACTATAGCACAAGTGTCGCAGTTAATGATAATTTCATTTCGAGTGTCTCTATCTTCGTTCACTTCATTGATAAAATACTTGCTGCGTAGTTACTCGTTCGTCGTATGTATTTATAACTCTACCGATCGCAGACGTCAGTCAGTAAGAAAATGAACGGGTCAACGGTTTAATTAATAAAACGTGCGTAACTATCACAAGTCGTTGATTTGAAATCCCGAACTCGCGTTCATTATCATCCTATTTTTTTCCTTTTGTATTTCATATGCATCGAAATTCGTTTCATATCACTTTTTTATCGCCGCGTTCTATGTGTATCGAGACTGCTGTGTATGAAAGTGATATAATAGATAACTACGAATTTGTCGTATTTCATAACGTCCGAAATGATTAATATCACGAAAATGAGCAATTTTAGAGACGATATCTCATTTAATAAAAAGATAAAAGTAATTCAACAGTGAAATATTAATTGTTTCATCTGATGTCGTTCTGTTCGAGTTGATTTTTGTACTATATATTATTATATATATATATATGTTATATATATGTACTATATTATTATTCGTAACTGCTACACAGTTCGTTCCCTACTAGTCCCTAAAATTGTCTTTACATATCATAACATGTAATAACTGTAGCTACTATAGCACAAGTGTCGCAGTTAATGATAATTTCATTTCGAGTGTCTCTATCTTCGTTCACTTCATTGATAAAATACTTGCTGCGTAGTTACTCGTTCGTCGTATGTATTTATAACTCTACCGATCGCAGACGTCAGTCAGTCAGCCGCGGCTGGAGTAACAGCAATGGCATTCCTCGCGGTGCCGTCTGTGTTCACCGCATTAGTGATCGTTTTGGTCACTATAGTTTTACTGAAAATAATCGCGGCATTATATAAGCAACAAACTTATTGGAAACATAAGAATGTGCTGTACTTGAAGTCGAATCCTGTGCTCGGAGTGGGTTGGAAATTTTTTGCCCGACGGATGACAATAGCCGAGTTAGGTGAAGCCATATACTACAGTTATCCGAATGCGAGATATGTTGCGAATATGGACCGTACTTTGCCGGTTATAACACTTCGTGATCCGGAATTAATCCGAGAGGTGGCTGTGAAAAATTTCGATCATTTCATGGATCACAAAGTTTTTTTTCAAGAGTCTAATAATCCTTTGTTTATGAAGAACGTTTTCGCGTTACGAGGCGAGCGTTGGAGAGAAATGCGGAGCATCCTCAGTCCTTCGTTCACGGGCAGCAAAATGAAATTCATGTTCGAATTGATATCGAAATGCTCGCAGGATTTCGTGGACTATTTGTACGCACATCCGGAGTATAGCTCGTCGTTCGAGCTGAAGGATGCTTTCACTAAATACACCAACGACGTGATCGCCACGTCCGCTTTCGGCATCAGTGTAAATTCGATGGAAAATCCAGAAAACGAGTTCTTCACCAACGGAAGGAACGTATTCAGCAGTATCATGAACAATGTGCCCAAGTTACTGTTACTGAGCACCTTTCCACGATTAGCAAAAGCCTTAGGTCTAAGATTGATTCCATCCGATATCACATACTTCTTCAGCAAAATCATATCTGAGACGTTGAAGGTGCGCGAAGAGCAAGGTATCGTCAGACCGGACATGCTGCACTTATTAATGCAAGCCAGGGATACGGAAAAGCACCAGATGACTGTCGAAGATATCGTTTCCCAGGCGTTCATCTTCTTCCTAGCTGGCTTTGAGACGTCCGCCAATTTAATGTGCTTCTTCCTGTACGAGCTAGCTTTGAACCCAGACATTCAAGAAAAGCTGCGTGAGGAAGTTGATCGTTCCATGGACGAAGGAAATGGGACGATTTCTTACGATATTCTTATGAAAATGGAATACATGGAGATGGTGACATCGGAGACACTTCGAAAGTATCCAGCGCTGATTATCATCGACAGAGTTTGCACGAAGGAGTACGAATTCCCTCCAGCGGAGGATGGATACAACAGCGCGACTATGTATCCGGATAGTTTAATTCATTTGCCTGTGTATGCGTTGCAACACGATCCTAAATATTTCCCAGATCCGGAGAAATTTGATCCTGAACGATTTAGGGATCCGAGTAAGATCACTCCTTACACGTATTTTCCGTTCGGTATTGGTCCTCGAAAATGCATCGGAGATCGTTTCGCGTTAATGGAAACAAAAATAGTGATAGCGCATCTTCTGCATAGATTCGTAGTGAAACGTATTGAAAAAACTCAGGTACCACTTGTGTTTAAAAAGTGGACAATGAATCTGGCACCCGAGAAAGGATTCTGGGTTGGTTTAGAAAAAAGATTTGCATAAATGTATCTTCAAAGCTTACTTCAATTTTCATTTGATTTATTTTGTAAAGATTATAAATAACAAAACTGTCGGACTATTGGCAATCACTAATTTAGAACTAAGAAATAAATGTATTGTTTTATATTTTATTTAATAAAGCAATATAGGTAACGTATTTTCCTATACCATCTATTACAAAAGATTAAAATAATCCATCTATTGTCTTTTACAAATTTTAATAATCCATTTCTGAGCCTGATAAATGATAACTAATTTTATCTTTATTTTTTTACGAACGATGAATTATGATAAATAACTGATAGTCCCGTACATTTATCAATTATGATGTCAACGTCGACATCAGCTGAAATAAATTATTCTTCGAGCTAAATGCTGTTCCAGAAAAATTGCTCTTGCAAATGACAATAAGCTTGACAAATACATTTTCATTTGACAACATTACGTTATGACAAACTAGAGAGAGAATAGCATCCTAGCAAGAAATCTAGTAATAAAGTGTTATGCAATGAGGTTTGTAGACTGAAGGCTGGGCGGAAGTTTAAAAATATACTTCACATAGTATCACTCTCTGTTAAGTAAACACTGGAATGATTCTTTTCATGACATGAGGTATTTCGTTTATTAACAGAATTTGTTATACATGATTAACAGAAATGTGAAACAACCATTATTTATACAAAGTGCGGGATATGTTTTACGATAAACAAAAATGGATTTGGTGGAAACTCTTTTCGGAGAACACTGTAGTTTCTTCACGTGAGTGACGTAACATAAGCGTCTCACTCCCTCTACTTCATCTTACACGATAAATCCATGTGTACACGTACATGTGTATCCGTGCATATTTATAAGATTCCTGATAGTCAATAGAACCATAGTCATTTACTAACCCACGATGGACTCACTCTTCCTTTCGTTTACTCTGTCGGTCACCGCCTTGATGATCTTCGGTTTGATCAAATTTACTTTTTTGCTGTACCAGCAACGCAACTACTGGAAGAAGCGACGTATTCCCTACATCGGAGCGATGCCAGTATTCGGTACCGCATGGAGAATCTTCTTTCATCTCATGTCCCTTCCCGATTATTTCACGTTCGTTTATAATTATTACCCGAACGCGAGGTATCTCGGTGTAATGGACTTCTCGACGCCGGCTATAGTAATCCGGGACCCCGAGTTGATCAGACAGATAACCATCAAGAGCTTCGAACACTTTCCCGACCATCAGGCCTTCCTCAACGAGAAGATAGACCCGATTTTCGGGAAGAATGTGTTCTCACTGCGTGGCGATCGCTGGAGAGAGATGCGCAACACTTTGAGTCCGTTGTTCACTTCGAGCAAGATGCGGTCTATGTTCGAACTGGTATCCAAATGTTCACAAGAGTTCGCTGATTATTTGTACGATCATCCGGACTTCTCGTCATCGATCGAAATCAAGGACGCGTTCACCAGATACGCCAATGATGTGATCGCTACGGTCGCGTTCGGGATAAGCGTGAACTCGCTGAAAAATCGGGACAACGAGTTCTACAGGAAAGGCGCCGAGGCGACGAATTTCGGGGGTGTCTTTCGATTGATAAAGTTCCTGTTATTCCGTATGAGTCCGCGTTTGACCAGAATGGCTGGATTTTCGTTCCTGCCACGCGACTCCACTAACTTCTTCCATCGAGTCGTTTCCGAGACGGTGAAAACGCGGGACGAGCAGAACATCGTTCGGCCTGATATGATTCACCTCCTGATGCAAACTAGGGAGAAAGCGAATCCCGTGGATCATCAGATGACCATCGACGATATTACCGCACAGGCGTTTATTTTTTTCCTGGCTGGCTTCGACACGTCCGCCACGCTGATGTGTTACGTCGTCCATGAGCTGGCGGTGAATCCGAGCATCCAAGAGAAGCTGCGACAAGAGGTGGATCGATACATGGAGGAAGGAAACGGGAAGATCTCGTACGAGGTTCTCTCAAGAATGGAATACATGGAAATGGTGACGTTGGAGACGCTGCGAAAGTATCCGCCGGTAGTTTTCATCGATAGGTTGTGCGCGCAGAAGTTCGAACTGCCCCCAGCGGAAGCTGGTTACAACAGTGTAATTGTATACCCGGATAACATCGTTTGGTTTCCAGTTTACGCGTTGCACCACGATCCGAAGTATTTCCCCGATCCGGAGAAGTTCGATCCCGAACGCTTTAGCGAGTCGAACAGGGATAACGTCGCTCCATACACGTATATGCCTTTCGGTTTCGGGCCCCGAAAGTGCATCGGGAATCGTTTCGCCTTGATGGAGACTAAAATTCTGATTGTCTATCTATTGCACAGATTCCGTGTGAAACCCGTCGAGGAGACGAAGGTACCTATCGAGTTCAGTAAGAAAAATTTTTCGTTAACGCCAGATGCCGGGTTTTGGGTCGGTTTGGAGAGGAGAGACCTTTAAGGCCTACATTCAGTCCTCCTCGTTTCCTGTATATTATTTGAAAATCATATGTGGTGATAGATATGTGTATGTATAATGCACTTAATGTTTGTACGTGACGATTGCATTTATAAACTCGTTAGTTTTGTGTATGAAAGTTGTTTGCACGAAAGAAACTTTCGATACACTTTAAAAATTGTATACTTCAATTCTATACTTTATTATGTATGGTCTATAATAAAAAACAAATATCACAATCTTATTATTGAAAAATGTTACACCATTTATCTTTAATCTTATCATGTATAGCAATTGCATGGGTCGTCGTTAATTATTCATTATAGGTAATTATAGTCTGTCGTCATTGAAGTCACGCGCGTAGTTTCCTCCAACGTATTTAATCTAAGTGACACAGTTTTTTAAACTTGGATGCTATTTCGTCCTGGTTTATTCGAAAAACAAGATTTTTAAACGGATCTGTAATTTAAATACAGTTTTATTCTTTTTTTATTAAACTATTTATTGCAACTGTTTATATGAATTGTATATATTTTATTTTAATTTGGAAGTTTGTTGTTTATTTGAGTGCATTATAGAATGAAGCATACAACCTACATATTCATTTGGCGTAATTTGTGTGACGCATTAACGCAGTACCATCAATCGGGGATAAAGTAAATATGATCGTGAACCGGTTTATCTAAGCATAGACATAGGGAGCCATTAAATCTGTTTACGCATGTACGGTGCAGTCACATTTCTCAAGTCATTTTCCTCCTTCCGCACTAAGTTATTTTCTTTACCTTCGAAATTACGTATTTTATACTATTCGTAGATTTATCCTTTTTTGCCATCAATTCAATTGATTAGCAACTAACAGATAAATGAAATAAATTGTACAGTATAGTATCAGTATATAAATATTTTATTTTTTTTAACCAATTAATCAAGCAATAGATAAATAAAAATTGATCCTCTATATGGTTCCCATATTGCTTAAATATTATTTTCGAAAGTGTGGTTTTTACTTTCCTTTTATTCATAAACAGCTGCTTTGATTACGACACAGATGAGATAGTCATGGGTTCAACGAACTATTAAGTGCGATCATAGAACTGTTGATCAATACTCTCATGAATAAATCAACAATAATCAAGAAATTATTATAGCGAAAGACTTTTTGTTTTGCTCCCGTCATCTCGTGGTTCTTAACTATGTACCTTCAATTAATTAACTAGTAATGAATAATCTAATTATTTTCTAGTATTTGTTTCTCTTTCACGAGATACTTGAAAAGAAGGGTGTAAGACTAGTTTTTAAGCTGAATGTTTTTGACAAGATATTTTTTCACTCTTCCCT